CTACACGCTACTTTCTGCTTACTCACCAGGTGAGTCGATCGTACTCACTTTCGTCCGGTGTATCGAGTTGTCAAAAATTGAGTAAACGAGAAATGTCAAACTGAGTAAAAGTCACTCAGTCAGCAAAATCCTGGACTTGGAAAAAATGCCAGTCGGAGGAAACCTCATCATAGGAAATTTTACTCAAAACCGGCTTAAATGCCTTCAGGTAAGTACGAATTGCTTAGGGAAACGGCGTTGAACCATTTTCTGATCCGGTAGAATTAGTCCGGAGCAGGCAATTTCCATTTCCTTGAATAAAAATCAAAACAAAAACCATCCCCGCAACTGAAAATACCGCCGAGTGGATTTGACTCAGTCTACGTGAGAACGTCGTTTACTCAAAAGTGAGTCTTATGTTGACTACTAAATTTTGAGTAGCCCTACTTGCCGCTGAGATGAGTACATTCGACTCAATTTTGAGTTGACCAGAATAATCGTGTAGCACAAGGTAGGAGTACACGGTTAGAAAAAAAGTACTCAGAATTAAGTTCTTTTCACTCATCTCGGCACTATAGTGCAGGAACTCAACAGTAGGTAAAGCGGGTCAAAGTAATTTTGATTTACTTGTGTGCAGTTCGTATGGAATTTTCCACTAGCTTTTTAACCAAAAGTAAGTTAGTTGTACCCAACAGTAGGTAAATATGATTATACCCAACGTTGGGTTCCCACACTTTACTACCCCTGTTGGGTGGTTTTGCTCCTTCTTTTTTGACAACATTAGAAGGAGAAAATGAGACAAACTAGTCAAAAGTAGGTAAAAGTGAACTGGCCGTTGGGTACTTTTTTCTTATCGTGTAGTCAATTAAGGAAGTGGGAGACGTCAGAATCTAGACCGTCCGTGAAATGAGAAGGAAGTGAGTGTTAACAAAAGCGAATGAAGTGGGAGTTTGTCTTGAGGGAACTTTAAGTGTTTTCTTGGTTCGCGGAATTGTTACGAGCGTGTGCCGACCCTGAGGCTTGGAAACGGGGGTGTCATCAGTGCTGGGAGTAGCACCATAAGAATACCGAAAAGCTGTCTACGTAGTTAATGAACAGCACCTAAAATAACACTGTTATCAAATAAAAAGCAGCTCACGCGACCACCAACGATCGACCAAAACAATCTGTGGGCAGTGTTGCGATATACCGTTAAAAAAAAGTTGATGCATTGTCCAATACTCATATTGTTCGTTTAATCGTATAACTTAAATTATGCACTCATAATGCTTAAAAACAAACAAATAATGTTGAAAACATAAATGACCTATGTAACTGTGATTATAACAAAACGTCCTATATAACATGTCCAATGTACACCTGACAAGTGCAAAATGTCCTATGTAACATTTTTGAGGTTTTCATAGAAAAAAAATGTATGAAACGGGTAGATTATAATTTCAATTTCAATTTTACTATCGCATTTTACTATTAAAGGTCTTAAAAATGTCAAAAGTTGATTTGGTTTAAAATAGTATCAAAAAAGATTTTGTCAATCTTCAACCTCGTTTTTCTCGAAAAGAGTGAAATGTTAGATAGGACCTTTTGAAAAGTTAGGCGAGAAATGGTAAGTTACAAATTCTCTGTTGTCGTTGTCGTAGGCGCCGTCGTAGTCGTAGGCAGTACCGTTGGTATATTTAAAATTAAACATCAACCGCTGAAAATATGAATTATCGCGTATTTCTGTTGTTCATTACATTCCAAGTGAAATTCGAGAACGTAATTTCATTTTAATAGCTTGTTAAGCAGATCTTAAACAATCGTCACGTCGGTCATAGCTTATTATGATTGTATGAACCATGCGTAAAGAGAAAATCGAAACATTGAACGTCGCGTGAAAGCGGATCTTAATGAAGGCCTAAGTACTCTTTCGTAGCTTTTAGTTTTAGGATTTCAAAGATCGTCGGTTGCAGTGGCTTGCTTACTGAGGAGAAAAACGCGGTCCCAGATCCTTTCATATTAAAAATGCATGGTAAGATCGCTTGTTTATCGTGTATTTTGTAAAACTTTTCGTTGTCGTCGGTGCCGGGTTTGAATAGTTATAAAAACTTGAGTAACGCTATAATGTGATATGAGAGGCTCGGTGGCCTTAGAGCAACCGTTTCTGCTTACTGAGCAGAACATCATGAGTCTAATCTCAAGCCCATTCACATTCAAGATTCGTCAATGATTAAAAAGGAGCTCGTCTGCCTAGTGGCAAACGTTTTTGCTTACTGAGCAGAAGATCGTGGGTTTAGTTCCAAGCTCCTTCGCGTTATATGATCGTTAGGACATCAATTCAGCTTATCGTTTACCAAGGCGAACCCTGCTGCAAACCCAACCCTCTTATCCAACATCCCAGTGATTCCTCGTGGAAGTGCAGAGGTGTTCTCGGCTTCCATCAAAGCGAGTGTCATGTCAACACATTCCTTCCCATTCCTTTCTTGACCTGCGTTCAGGCGCGGCTGGCGCTGGTATTGCCTAATTTGAGATCACCAGTTTTTACACATTGAGGATGATTGCTAGTCCCAAGCATCGTCTATTGGTTCTCTGTGTAATTACAGCTGGTCTGGCAATAACAGAGTAGCAACCGTGGGCGGTCAATCATGCTCATGCTCATGCTCAGTAGTTTTAAAAATGAAACCGAAACAGCAAAGCAACCGTGCAAAGGTTTTTTTAAGATTTAGTGCATATTACTGTTTCAAGAGTGCTAAAACGATTTGAAAATCGTTTGACCATCGAACACAAGTCCGGTGCTGGTCGAAAACCTGGTTCAGTGAGCAAAAACGTCCAATGGTGGTGCGTGCAAATTTTGAAGTTTGCCATCTTTTTTGATTTGGCAAGCAATCTGTAGCTGCAGTAATCGAAGTGAAATTTTCGTCACAACTGGAGCTGTGAATCAAATAAAATTATATCCGGAGTGATTTGAGATTTGGGCGTAATTGCTTTTGTAACCAAAGACGTCAATCTCATAAACCAACTATACCAAATGATAGAGGAATCATTCCTCTATCTCAAAGCGTTATCAGTTTTCGAGATTGAGCTTTTATTCACGAGAAATCGGTGATTGACGTGTTTGTTTACAAATGCAATTACGCCCAAATCTCAAATCACTCCGGATATAAATGAGTGCGTCCAAAAACGTCTACTTCCATTTTTGAAGCAAAATCGGTATTGGAATGCTATTAGCTGAACAATATCAATGTTGTGCCCAAAGACAACAATCCGTCAAATTGGCCAGAACTTCGATATAAAGAGCCTGAATTTATAAAGAGACGACGTGTCAAAATTGGAACAATCCATTGTCTGTCAAAGTCATAAGAAAAGTCATTCCAATCGAGCAGAAGATCTGTCAAATGGATAAAATGTCGCCTCTTTATAAATTCAGGCTCTTTACTCCGACCTATAGAAAAATACTGGGCGATTATGAAACAGCAGCTTGGTATTGCCAAAAATGAAGTGAAAATGAAAATAAAGTGGAAAACAGCTGAGAAAGAAGTTGCAGATACCACTATGCAAAACTTAATGGAAGGTATTAATAGAAAAGTTCATGTATTTGTTTATGGTAAATAAGTTAGACCCAACTGCACGTTAAAAAGAATCAAAGATCACACTCTGAAAATTTTTCTTGGTTCTGATAAATGGCTTTTGTTTGACGATATTTTTTGTGTGATGCAATAATTTCGTGAACAGCCTTTACATAAACATCAACAAAAAAAAATTCCAATCGAACCCGTTGTAATTTTTTTATAAGATTAAAAAAAATAGTTTTTATCTATGAGTCCAATCTTTAGATCCATAGGCGTCTTTATAATCCCATAAAGTTGCTTACGTAATCATTGCATGACCCCTAAGTGGATTTCAGTTTGGAGTTCTCCTAAAGTGCTCATTTTCTTCATGCAACACCGCGCTTGTCAGTTCAGTGCCTACTTCGATTCTCCGCTTGAATGTTCGCCTGGGCATGTGAGATGAAAGCCAAACTAAACGATTGGACGACAGAAGCCAATTTACGGTTATTAGCATCATAATTTTTGCTCCGTAATTTTCGCTGTACCATTGCACTTGTTTTTTTTTTGTTTGTTTCGTAAGTGTCTCCGTTATTTTTTATTTTTATTTTCGAAAAGCAAGAAAAACAACCAAATGGACACTGCAGAGCAATGGTGATAATCGACCGCGTCGTTCGTGTTTCATCACACTCGAAGAAGTTAAGCGCTAACGACGTTGATTTATGCAATAGAGGTGTGTAATTTTACCACGGGGGCAATGGGTGCGTTGCAAGCGATCATCTTACGACTGTACGACACGGGTCAATTCATTTCGAACTGCTATAATCATAAAATTGTTAGCAAAGCAATCAGTCGGGGGCGCAGCACCCTTTCATGTTCCGTTGCCACTGTAATATTTTTACAGAAATAATTTTCATGATTAGTACACAAATCGGTTGTCACTCTGGCTACTAAATTGATGCGAAGAAAACCTCCCACCTAGTAAATCACCGAACCGCTTTGTTCAACATCCCTAAATACACATCTGTCGACAGTCCGTCAGTCATTCATTCACAAACTGGGGCTACGCCACTGCCGTCAAACCGCACCGACCGGACGGCGGCGGGCGCAACTTTTAATTTACATTTTAGATTATGGTGGCATTTTCCTTATCTAAACTGCCACATCCAAACAGCTGACGATCGAGACGACGACGACGACGACGACGAGTGGCAAGTTTGAGGGCAATTTGCATTTCTAGTCTTACATCTTACTCTTTCCATTATCATTATGGGGCTGTTTTATGGTCGGTTTTATGGTGTGTCTTCGGGTTGTATACTTTTTTTTAAAGTCTCGGTTGTTCTTCCACATCAACTTTGTGTACTGGTGTTGAGCTGTGCTTCGATGAGGACAGTTGTAGGCGTTGGCACACGTTAGAATTTAGTGAATTTTCAGGGGCTGTAATATTATCTTCCGAATGAAGGCACCTTTTATTTTGATTAAAATTGTTGTATTTTATGAGAATTTTGATTTTTCTGTGAATGTGTCTTTCTATTTATCCACGATTTGCATTGATTATTCACTACAAGTAGGTATACGTCGTTTTCTCAATGGTTAGACATAAGTTATTAAATTTACGCGGTTGCTTGAAGTTTATTTTTAATAATTATCCATTACACAATAATATAAGTATACTGAGTAGTTTTTGTTCATAATTTAGAGGACTTTTTTTTCCATTAACTAGTACGAAACACTCGCTCTCTTGTTTACCTTGTTCATCATTCCCTAGCACTCTGATCATCATCTACAGTTCCTCGAGACATCGCGAGTTGGTGAGCATAATCCTAGTCAGTCGCCAGACCTGTTTGGAAGCGTTTTCCAGCGCCCCCGGGGATTTCCCTTTGAACAGATCCATATTCGGTAGGAAGTAGTGCGGACAGCGACGGCACTGAAGGCAGGAGATCAGCTGCAGGAAGATGCCATTGATGCGATCGCCCATGCAGTTCTCGTCCCATTCCATCTCGCGCGGGTGCTTCTCGCACTCGTACAGCAGCAGGGTTTTCATGATGTACGAGGTCACCGGATTGCCCGGTAGGTCCAGGTGCCGATCGCGAAGGGTTTTCAGGATGCTGAGACACCGCCGCCGGCAGCCGCCTGCAAGAAGAAAAAGAGAAGGAATGGTGGTGAAATTTGGTGTTTGCGACCATTTGACATTACTTTGTTCAATTGACTATGAATTTCTTATGGAAGCCTTAAAGGGGCCACCCACATTAGACCCGTTGACGTAAATTTGACAGTTAGACAATAGATTCAGCTGTCACTTTGCCGCAACGCATCAGATCCAGATCTAATGTGGGTGGCCCTTTATAGTTCGTCGGTGCTTATAGCCCGTATCACAGGAAGCAACAGATCACTCAAAGATAAAATTCAATTAGGAAAGCTATTGGCTTAATTTATGCAAAACTAAAACTGGTGTCTGTTAAACCTATGATTGAAGATGGTGTTAATTGTCTTTTATTTTCAGGATTTCAATTTTTCGAATAATAAAGTAGCATTTGATCAGAATAAGAAAAATCAGGAGGATTTTCAAACATTATATATCAAAAACATATTTCAACTGATTAATAGCTGAATAAACGTTTTTATAGTCGAATACGCTAATGTTTACTCTTCTTACAAAGAAGGGAATCCAGAGTGTTACTCTCGGCATAATTTCACCGGGAAGTGATTCATCTTTGACACTAGACGCTTACCATTTTCATGGCACAGTTATAGCAGGCTTATTAAATTGTTTTCAAAAGTGACAGGTTAAAAATTTACCATTCCTTAGCACATCGCTGCATGACGCCAAACAGACCAAGGTGGAAGTCCAGGATCAGGATCAAGCCAGAAAAATCAAAACTACCAGAAGAACCTCGAACCGCAAAAGGAAAATATGTACCGAGTTGCAGAAGGATGATTTCGAGAATTGGTTCAAAGATTACAACGCTCGGGAATTAAGACAGATTTGGGAAGCACGAATGGCAACTCACGATCCCCGCACGTTACACAACATCAACCGGGAGGTGCACGCCAGATCGTTTTCGGAATCACCTTTTAGCGTCGCGGAGTTGATGCGCTGTTGCGAAATCAGAACGTGTTGGTTCACACGGATAAACTGACGCGATTGGTCAAGGCGAAGATGGATCGAGTGATGTGCGTTTTTCGAGTACCGGGGACACTCTCAAGTCCCTTTGAATCTCGAAGGGGGTTACGGCAAGGTGATGGACTTTCGTGTCTGCTATCCAACATCGCGTTAGAAGGTGTGAGCAGAAGAGCTGGGATAGACACGAGTAGCACGATCTTCAGGAAGTCCATCCAGCTTCTTGGCTTCGCCGATGACATTGACATCATGGCACGGAACTTTGAGACGATGGCGGAAACGTACATCAGACTGAAGGCTGAAGCTAGGCGGATTGGACTTGCCATCAACGCATCAATGACAAAATACATGAAAGGAAGAGGTTCTAGGTAATACAATGTTAGCCTCCCACCCCGAGCTCAGATTGACGGTGACGAAATCGAGGTGGTCGATGAGTTCGTGTATTTGGACTCACTGGTGACCGCCGAAAATGATACCAGCAGAGAAATTCGAAGACGCATTATGACAGGGAATCGTGCCTACTTTGGACTCCGGAGGACGCTCCGGTCGTATAAAATTCGCCGCCGCACGAAGTTGACTGTCTACAAGACGCTGATTATACCGGTGGTCCTCTACGGCCACGAGACCTGGACAATGCTCGTGAAGGACCAACGCGCCCTTGGTGTTTTCGAACGGAAGGTGTTGCGTACCATCTACGGTGGAGTGCAGATGGATGACGGAATTTGGAGGAGGCGGATGAACCACGAATTGCACCAGCTGCTGGGAGAACCATCCATCGTCCACATTGCAATAATTGGGCGACTACGATGGGCTGGGCACGTCGTAAGAATGCCGCACGACGACCCAGTGAAAATGGTTCTAGAAAGCGATCCAACAGGAACAAGAAGAAGAGGCGCGCAGCGGGCAAGGTGGATCGACCAAGTAGAAGGCGACCTGCGGACCCTTCGACTACAAGGCTGGCAAAGTGTGGCCATGGATCAAGTAGAGTGGAGACGACTTCTTCGGACAGCAGAGGAAAACAAGGCCTTAGCCTGATTGGTAAGGTAAGTAAGTGGTTCACACGGTTACCGACATCCTTTCGATTATAGACGCTCGGAGTTTTCGTTCGAACCGTATTTTCCATACAAAAAAAAAACTTTTTTTGAATGGAAAATACGGTTCGAACGAAAATAAGAATATGGGTGCATATTACACTATTGGAAATGTCTCTTCCTTTCATGCCTACGGCTGTTGGGTGAATCCATAGATCTTTTCGAATATTATCACGAGCCGTTCGAGCTTTAGGAAAGTGATGGAAGCTCACTTTTTGTTGACCATATTTTGCGTGGCACCCATCGTGAGAAATTAGGATACTGCTGAATAATGATTTTATAATGAAATGATGCACGAAATCGACTCAAGCAAAATTAAAATCAGATTTGTTTTGCGCTGTCAAAGTGCAGAAAATTTTCTTCAATCATGGCCATCTTGGTCTTTGCCATAATGGTAATCGCAAGGGGTAGGTCACTCTGCACACCCATCTTGGGTCCTCACTTGGGTCATCTTTTTTGTCAGTGTGTACCAAGTGTGTCGCAGGTGTGCCAATTGTGCCAGTCATAGAGCAAGCTGCGATTGTTTGTAAATTACCCATCCCGGCAACCCGGTATTTCTGACACCTTGAATGTTTTGGTTTAAAATCGAATTGAGGCTGACGCGGAAAGTGATAATACAAGTCCTGTGTTTAGGGCTTTAAAATGCCCTCAAAAGCAGACCAGAAACCGTGATGTGATGTGAAAAGCAACGGTCTATCAGCGGCCGGAGAGAGTTGGAACCGGTGGGGAACATTGTTGGAGACCGACTATAGACGGATTTAAATCTATAAGTGAACTGTTGGTCTGAGTTTTTCTGGTATAGGAAGGTACAATTAGAGGATGTTCCTGAATATACAGTCAAACAGCACGTAATGTTGTGAACACCTTCAATGACAGTTGTCCAGCAGTGCTCCCATTTTATTTACAACAATCCAATACCTACGAGATTGTGCCGAAGGTGTGCCGAATTTAATTTCGGCACATGTTGTGATTCGCAATGATGGCGAATTTAATCTCGCTTCTGTCACCACAGAAAAAAAAACAGGCGAATCAAAAGGCCTTTTGCATCTAGGCGAAATCGTCCGCAGTGTAAATATATAATTGCTTCAAGTCTGTATGTGCTTGATTGTACATGGTTCCGTTAAAATATTTTGTATTCTGTTTACAATAGTGGTTTTATATGAAGAATGATTTATTGTAATCAATTTGTTATAAAAGGAAATCAGGAAACAAAGAACAATATCTTTCCATAGTCAACCCTCCAGGATGACATGTTGCCTCCTGGAGGACCTTAAAGTAACCAGTCGTTCATTATTTAGTCCGCTTGAATAAACTTTCTGATAAGACGTGTGTGAAGTACACAACGTAAGACCTAACTATTGGACGAATCAGTGCTGAGTGATTTACGACCCCCCCCCCCCCTTGGGTAATCGTTATATATTAGAAAGGGGTGGTTCAAATTGTATGCGCTCGAGCGTAAAAACTGGATATTTATACTGATTGGACAACCGGTTCTCGATCCAAAGCGTGAGGGCCAAGTGTAAAACACCATTCAACTCAGCTCGTCAAGATCGGAACATTTATGTGTGTGTGTGTGCGTTTGGCTTGACCAAAGTCCTTGATGCGATATCTTGAATCACATGAGAATTCAAAAACAAATAGCCACACCCGGACGTGTTCCCAGAGTGGCCAGTTTCTGACTTTCCAAAACTCCCTAATGCGACACCTTAAATCACATTAGAATTCTATAACAAGTGCGGTAGGTATATCAAGTGCCCAGGACCAAATAGGTCGTACCCAACCTCCTGCAGTGCAATCCAGTTCTTGAAACTGCCGAAAACATCAGCAGCGCTGGTGATCCATACCATATTTGAGCTCCAACCATGGAACGTTGAATGCGGCAAGGTGGCAACAAATGTAATGCCTTCAAAACCATTCTTACTTTCCCGCAATGGTCAATTGAAAATTATTTAGTTGTTTTCGAATTGACGAGCACAATTTGCGTGAATCTTTATCTAGAAAATTATATCTTTTTCCGCAACGCGGCGCGACATGTAACAAGCCTAATCATAGAGGAAAAGGAGGAGCTGTCAAATTAGCACCAGAGCACCAGAGAAATTTGGCTTCACTCGAGTGGTTCGCAGATGACAGGCGTTGTAGTCCTGTGGTCGTACCCGGATATGTTACAGGTGCCCCAAAGAAGTGGCAGTTTCCGACTTGACCAAAAGGCACCTTAAATCACATAATAATTCAAAAATAAGTTTGGTCATATTGAGTGTCCATGACTATATTGGTCACACCAGACATGTTCGATTTAGCCATCAGCCATCAGATATAATAGTAGTGACTAAAATTATGAAAATAGTGAACAAATAGTGATTTTTAACATTCCAAACACGATGCCTCCGGTAAAATGTGTAACGGAAAATTGGCAATGTTTGAAGATACCGAAATCTTTAAAGTCTTTAGTTTAAAATGGTGCCAATAGATTTGAAATTCGTAAATAAATGGCTGTGCTATGATTTTTTAAACATTGCAATTTTGCCGTTACATGTTTTTGCAAAGTTGGTTTATTCAACCTCCTCTCCTAGGCTAAATTCCTGCACCTTGGACTTAACCTTACTCAAATCCTGTGCAACACTTGCGCCATATTTCTTACACACTTTCATCTACTCTTTCTTCAAATCCTTGTCGTTTTTGAAGACTTTTCCTGTTTTCCCTGACCTTGCCCTACAGAATCGCCCAGAATTTTTCTATTGGTCGAAGTTCTGGCGAGTTTGGCGGATTTGCTTCCTTCGGCACAAAAACAACATCGTTGGCTTCGTACCACTCCATCGCCGGTTTCGCGTAATGGCACGATGCCAGATCCAGCCAAAACAAAGTGTCACCTTCGTGGGACCGGAGGAAGGACAGCAGGCGCTTATGGAGGCATTCTTCTTTAT